GACGGTGACGGAGCACGAGGGTGCGGACAGTATTATCGCTGTTCTGGATGACTTGGCCCGGCGCGGAAAGAAGGGGTATATTATCTACGATGTGTCGGAGGAAGGAGCACCGCCGTCGTCAAAACTGCCGCCTGATGGGTGGGGCATGATTTTGCTGGCATCCCTAAAAAGCGGTAACTTCAACACACTGGCGATGCAACTGCACACCAGTCTCACCATCATGAACTGCCCTGACGAGAAAGAGGTGAAGGCGATGTGTGCCTGGAGGACGCGTGGCCGCCCCGCGCAGGAGCAAAGGAAGTACTGGGAGACTGTCCAGGACCGCATGTCTCAGGTGGGGCCGATGCCGCGTTACATCCTCACTGAGGCGGATTTCAACGAGGGCACTGAGGTGGTTAACAGCGCGCTGCAGGCGATTACCGCCTCGGTTGCCAGAGACTACCTTGATCTTGAAGAAGGGAACATTTGGTGTCCGGGAAATCCGTTTCAGCAATTTGTGAAAATTGAGCGGGTTAGTAACACAGGCGGTTTGGTGGTCATTCGCTGTACAAGCATATGTCGCGGCCTTGATTCCAAAGTGGCGCAACGTATGTGTGAGGTTCTCGGCCCCGGCGAGTGTATAGCGCGGTCGTGGCGTGCCTCTGAGCGTCGCTTACGACGCTGAAGGCGTGCACCCAGGACCCACACACACACACACGCGAGGGAGGAGGGCCTTCTGCGGGCGCGGCGTAGAAAAGAGAGAGAGGCTCGCGCGGGGCTGCGGCCGCCAACGGGACGGCAGGCAAAGTGCTGCGTGTTGCGGGCGGTCCCGGCGTCGCGTCCTGGGCAAAGGGCTTAGAGGCGGGCGCCTTTTCATTTTCATTATTTTCTTTAAACCGTCGGGAAGTAATTTGGTTGGGCTGCGGTTTTGCAGCGGCGGGTGCGCATCACAACACTACCGCCAGCGCAGTGAAGCAGCAGCCCGGTGAGTAAATGACGAGGTGTATATTTTAAACGATTGGGAAAACTACTGCCGGTGAGTGTTGGTGGGGGATGTTGTTTGCGTGCGGCGTGCAGACGGTGCGGCGACAGACACGACGCGGCGAGGGGTGTGGGAACGTCGGGGTGGCGAGGGCCGGCGCGTGAAGGAA